AAAAAAAAAAAAAAAAATTCATGTTGCTATGTCATAACTGCATATACTATATGCCCAGCTCTGTGCTGAGTGTTGTTTAGGTCTCCCTTTCAGTTATCAAACGTGTGGACAGTACAGATTAAAAGTGAGATTGAGAGTGTGGAAGTGGGCTCCACATTGTCAAGGAAAAATTGGGGGATAAGTTAGGCCTTGAAGAAAGTAGAAACATTTTGTCCAACAAAATAAAGCAACATTTTTTTAAGTTTCTCATATTTTCCTGTAGTCAGCCTACTTGTGTTGATAGTCACCATTTCATAATTTCCTCATTTTGTTGTTTACCGGAATAAGAAGAACTGGCACCTTGTCCAGTAAAGTTCCTTGTCCTCCTTATGCAAGAAAGGAAATCCTGACCTAAAAGCACGACCACAAAACAAATTAATATTCTATGTCTATTAGAGTTGGACTTCTTTAAAAATGGATGAAGTGTTAATCTTCCAAGATTGATTTTCCCTGAAAATTACCAACTCCTGGACTCAGAAACTGAGAAAAGGGAGAAAGATCCAGAAGGGGGAAGAAAGAGAGAGACAACAAGAGAGAAAGAATGAATTCATCCAAATCACCTGCATTACCGTACCCAGGTAAAATTTGCAACTCTACCTTTTATCCCATAAATCTCTTTTTGGAACAGGTGATAAATATGGTGAGAGACAGAATAATAGAAAAATATTCAGTGAAGTAAAAGAAAAAGGACGGGGAGAGAGGGAAGAGAGAAAGAGAGATATTAGAAAACTATATGTCATACTGGAAAGCTTGCTGGACTTGAGTTGAGTTCAGGGAGAGCTATCGCACTGCTATTTCAACCCTTTCTGGAATATACTGTGTCTTTTGGGGAGGTCATTTCACCTCCATGGAACTCACTTTTCTTGTCTATAAAATGTGTTTTGGAAGGAAACTAGTAGATGACTGTCAATTGTTATCTGACTAATTTACAAGGAGCTTGAAAAATGAGACACTGGAGAGAGAAATAGAGAACAGGAAAAGCAGAAGGGGGAGAAAGAAAAGGAAGAGAGAAAGAGAAAGAATGGAGAAAACCTCAGAAAATGCGAATGGCTTAGAAAAGAAGAATTGTGTGTCTGAGTTCATGAGTCAGTCTTAAAATCGGTGATGGATTACTTCAGTGGATCTGAAAGGATGGTCCAGACCAGCAGCATCAGAAGTCCCTGGGAACATGGTTCCATACAAGCTCTACTGAATTTCTAACTCTAGGGGTGAGGCTCAGCAATCTGTGTTTCAACAAGTCCTCCAAGTGATTCTGATGCGTGCTTAAGTTTGGGAATAATTCAATATAGACAAAGCAAGTAGAAGGGAATAAGCAAGGATGAATAAGAATCTGTTCTATCTCTTTTATTCCATCTCTTTTGTATCTAGTTTAGGGAAGATTACCATGTTTGTGTCTTTCTTTCTACAGAGAGAGAATGCTTCTCTTCCCAGGTGTTTTTATGGACTGTTGCTGGCATCTCCATCCTGTTTCTCAGTGCCTGTTTTATCACCAGATGTGTTGGTAGGTTCTGAAGGTCAAATTTGATCTAATTCTCCCTGGTGCATATTAGGAGTAAACTCTTTCTTGGTGTCTATAGATTCTCTTCTTCTTCAAAGAGTCTTTCTATTTTGATTTTTCCCTATTAACCTCCAGGCTTCTCCTCAAGCCGAAAACCTGTTACCAAATTTCAGTACTTTCTGACCCATTTTCATGATAGACATTTTTCATTCTTTAATGCCTTGAGTTCCCCACCACCACCAGCCATTGTACCCCTATCATTAGTGTCACCTTCCATGGGAGATCCTAGCTTAGAGCTTGAACACGCTGGTTAGGACCAGAGACATGATAAATTACTTTTTGGAAGGAATGGTAGAGAGGGTTAGACTTGACATAAGAGGATGTGCAAACATATTTATTTTTTCTGGGCTGTTGGGCCTGAAATAAAATATATTCATCTTTATAAATTGGGAAAACCATGAAATGTGAATTCCCTCTTCTTTCTTTGAGTAAGCAAGTCCCATTGCCCCTGCATGTGGAAGAAGTAGACAGTAAGAAAATTATCATGGTAATTATTGGCACTTTTGTTACGAATGCAAAATTGAGGAAATTGATTTTTTAATCAAAAAATAGTAATTAACATTAAGTGTACCACTTCTCTTACAGTAACATATCACATCTTCCAAATGTGTGATGAGAAAAAGTTCCAGCTTCAAGAGAATTTCACAGAGCTCTCCTGTGACAATGATGGATCAGGTATAATAGTCCTCAACACTGAACATCAAATTTATATATTAACATTTTCTGGCTTCTAGATTGACTTTGGAATAGGTAAAATATTGTTGGATTAGATCCTATTTTCCAAAGGAAATTTAAAACCCTGTCTGCACTGTAAGAGAATGATGAGTAGTTGGTAGGAGTACAGGAATAGAATTTTGGAAATGCAGTTAGAATTGGGGTAGGAAATCTTAGGGACATTATAGTGAACTTTTAGAATGAATTTGGGGCATATATGTAAACGGTAAATCTGAAAGTGGAAGGTAATGTTATTCTCTGGAGTGTGCTTTTTTTTTTTTTTTTCATTCACCAGCTTCCAAAATGAGGTGAAGAAGAAAAAAAATGTATAGAGTAGGAAATTTATAAATACCAGAGGAATAATACTCCCTATGCTCTTATATATCATCCAAGTCTTAGAAAAATGGTACATGATGCTAGGAAAGTGACTCCCTTCTCTGAGCCATAATTTTCTTACCATTAAATCGAGAGAGATTAGACTATCTATTTTTAATAGACTTAAAAGTCTGAAATTCTGGCCATTCTCTGTACCTGTACTCTGGCAGGGCAGGGGTGGTTGCTGGCCAGCTAAGAAAGTCTCATGATTTGGCTCAATTCGGTCTTTAAGTGGTCATTTCTCGCACTCCGGACCATCACATTTGGAGGCCCCAGCGAGATTCTGCCCCAGCGCGGGCACCTGGTGACCACCGGTGCCTGGCGACCGGGCGCGGATCAGGTGTCTAGCCTAGGGGAGCGCTCCCGAGAGACGTCCCTCAGCCCCCGGGCGATGGCCCGATCACGCTCCGGCCACCGACCCCTCAAAAGCAACCAAATTCCTCTGGCCGAGTCTTCCGGTGAGTGCGCTCCTAGTCTGTTCTGATCTGTGGGCCCCTTGCTGCCCTCGGGAGGCCAGACGCAGCTTAACTCGCAGGGCCCGGTTCGGAGAGGTGAGACGTCACCTGGAACTCCTGGTTTTGTCCCAGAGAGTGGGAGGCACCCGAGAGGGGTAAGACCGGGGCCACTCGGCGGGAATCTGGTCTTTCTGGTTTTCTGGAGCTCCCTGTTTTCCTGTCTTTTTCGACTTTGAGTTTGGGAGCGAATGAACGTTTTGCTACGGGTGTTCTGAGCGTGCCTTTCGCCAGCACGTTGTGAGTCTTCCGAGCGCTTAACCGGTCGGGCTCCTGAATTCGCTCTGGTCTGTTGAGCTCCTCCGGCTCCGGAGGCGCTGGACGCAGCCGGGGAGCGGCGGATAAGCCGCTTATCAACCTGAGCCCCCGGACTTGGTTCTGTTTCTGGTCGGACCTCTCTGAGCCACGTGTCGGCACAGGACGTGAGTTTGGTTTTCTCCATTACTCTTTGATGTGTGATGCGTAGCTGATTTGGTGCTTGATGACTAAACTAACCGAGTGTAAAAGTTAAGGAAGCTGAACATTTAAAGGGCCGCGGCCGGGAACAACTAAAAGCAAACAGTGATATTGGCCAGTTCGTCTTTCCGTTTGCATTGTCTGTCTCTGTCTCTGTGTCTCGTGAACGAAAAGCTTTGTGGCCGGCACGGGCCAGTCCAAGTCTTGTGTTACCTGTTCTCCCCTTGAGTGTTTTCTGAGAAATTTTCGGGTCTTCCACGCTCCAGGAGACAGCCTGGATCCCGGCAGCGGCCTGACCTGGTTCTAGGCTGTCTGGGAAGATAAAAGGCCCCAGCTGGGGACTCCTCGCCACCAGTGCGGGGTCCTAAGAGCTGCCATCCATGCTGGCCACCCAGATGGCGACCCCAGCCTCAGTCCCAGACACGGGCTCTGGTGGCAGACTTCGCAGGCTATAAGCTGGGGCAGAAGGGTTATGTCTGTGGAGCTGGCCCGGGGGAGGGCCCAGCAGCTGACCCGCTGCACAGAGCCGTGTGGGCAGCTGGAGATGAGTTTGAGAACCACTTCCAGAGAACCTTCTCTGACCTGGCGGCTCAGCTGCATGTGACCCGGGGCTCGGCCCAGCAGTTCTTCAGTCAGGTCTGCGATGAACTTTTCCAAGGGGGTCCCAACTGGGGTCGCCTTGTGGGCTTCTTCGTCTTTGGGGCTGCGCTGTGTGCTGAGAGTGTCAACAAGGAGATGGAGCCGCTGGTGGGACAGGTGCAGGAGTGGATGGTGGCCTACCTGGAGACGCGGCTGGCCGGCTGGATCCACAGCAGCGGGGGCTGGGTGAAGTTCACAGCCCCGTGTGGAGACAGGGCCCTAGAGAAGGCGCGACATCTGCGGGAGGGGAGCTGGGCATCGGTGAGAAAAGGGCTGACAAGGGCCCTGGCACTGGGCGTCCTGGTCACTGT